GAAGGAAACACCCAGACAGCAGACTGTCTCTAAGGCTGAGATCTATAGACCGTACTTTGAATTTGCTCAGACTTTACTTTCGCGCTAAGACAATGTCGGTATTTATAGAGCTAACTTCGAAGTCGTGCTGAGTGCGCGCTTAGCAAAGCCTAAGTCAACGATATCGACGACTTACGTAAAACTCAGGATATTATTCAAAACCACCGTATTAATTTTAAATTGTTGTTTATATGTTTCTCTAATTAATTAAAACAATAAATAGGTAGTTTTCAGTCGTCTTCTAATTTTAAATAGCACTTATCCATTTTCTATTTACGTAATTTCAATGTTATTTCAAATTTCTTCAAATCTTATTTTTGTCTTTTTTTCAGTAATTTTGATTTTTAATATATATATATTATTTAATTTAATACAGTAAAGTCAAAAACATTATGCGTTGGATGAAGCATCCATTAATATTTGGACTGTCTGGACCTTAGCATAAGCTTAGCTTAATCTTAGCCCGATACAACTATAAATTCAGAATCAAAGATTATGCTGAGCATATACTCAGCTAAGTTTGTCGTAAGCTAAGTCTGAGCAAAGTCAAAGTACGATCTATAGATCTCAGCCTTAGTTTCAGGATCATAACAATAAATCCAGCTTTCGTCACCCGTAAATATGTCGAACACAGCATTTGAGTCACCTCCGTTAAATCTTTGAACCATTTCACGACACCAATCAACAGGACGGAGTTTTTGGTCCTCTGTCAAATTATGAGGTATCCACCAGGCACAAAGCTTCCTGAACGCTAAATATTCGTGGAGGATTTTGTGCACTTGACTCATACCGATGCCTAAGCTTGTCCAAATCTGCTGACAAGTCATTCTTTTGTCAGTCTCTATCATACGCCGCAGAACTCTGATGTTATCTTCAGGTCTTCGCCGTAGTAGGCCGTCCCTGCCTGAGGGACGGCCTACTACGGTCATCATCGGTGAGATCAGTGCGACCACGTTTAAACACATTAAACCAGTTGTTATTAAAACAGTGGCACTAGATGGGGTTTCATCGTGAAAGGCCAATCGAAGTCTATCATAACTTTCTTGTTGACTTAAATGACATTGAAAGTCATAAAAAATCATTGTAAAATTTTCAATTTGCCGCCAAATCGTAAGCAAATGACAAATTAATAAAATACATAGGTACGCAATAATATTGGCAAAGAATACCATTTTCAAAATATAACTTATTTTTTTTATTATATCGTTTACAAGTGGCCAGTTCTAAAAATTTCAGTGTCCACCGCGTAATGCCCTTTTTTACAAATTCTTTACAGTCCGGGCTGTTAATATCTGGAATGCTCTACCTTTGAAAATCGGTGAGGCGCGATTTATTGATATCATTAAAACATTTGTAAAAGAGAATTACTGTCAATCTCTCGGGCTGCTTCGGCACTGTTTTGCAACAAATTATAATAATGTTTATATTGTATTTTACGCTTTATATATTGCACCATCTACCTTGTATCTGTACCCTTATTTCTTTACATCTTTGGTTGTCTGCAAAAGATAGCTATATAGCGATAAGGCTGCCGAATTGTATACTTTACTTGCTTTTGTGGTGTACAGTAAAAGTACATTCATTCATTCATAGATAGTTAGAACATCTCTTTACCGTCTGGTAGGTAGGCTGAGTGATAGTATGTTATTGCCTTTTATTTAAAAAATAGTGAGTGAGTGGAATGAGAGCGCGTGCGCGCAGGTCACTGACCGGTTGTGCAGCACGAGCGCGACGACGGCGGGGTGCGGCACGGGCGGCTGCAGCGGCGCGCGCGGGCTGAACGCGCCCACCTCCAGCGCAGGCGCGCGCACGCGCGGCGCCGCCGTGCCGCCCCACTCGCCCCACGCCACCCACCCGCCCGACAGCCCTGCACGCCACAAACAACCTTACGTCACAGAATACAAGGATACAACTCGACTAAAACATTGCAGTCACATAAGCCCTTTTATGCTGGTTAGGGTTATAAACACATGCACTGCAATATCAATTTGGTACACGCTGAGCTACTGTACCTGCGCCTGCACACCATAACCGATCTTACGTGATATAACATGCGGATACAACTCGATAAAGACACATTATAGTTACATAAGCTCCTTTAGACACGTCGTGATATTACCGCCAGTACTCGCAGTGATACGGTGCCGCTACTATACCTTACGTCATGCAACATAAAGACGCAACTCAAGAAGGACATATTGAATCACATAGGCTCCTTTGTGTTGATTAGGATAATAAACGCATACACTACATAATCATTTTGGACATATTTACTATGCATCTTTCAAACCTGAACACAACCTACTGTACTCAGATAGGAAAGAGTAGTAAATATGTGTTTGTATTTGCACGTCTGTGCATGCGTGCACATGTGTGTACATGTGCTTGCGCTCGTACTTGTTCTGTGTTGCTTGTGTATGCACGCGCTGGGCGCCGCGCGGCGAAAGCGTATACGTGTGCATGTGTTGGCACGTGGCGCACTCTCGACAGCCGCGTGTGTGCGTGTATGTGTGTTGGCACCAGGCGCGGCATGCGTACGTGTGTGGTGCAGTGAACGCTCACCGGGCGCGGCGTGGCGCCAGTCGTCGCGCTCGGCGAGCACGTCGGGCGGCGCGTGGTCGCGGCCGCAGCGCGCGGCCCAGGCCTGCGCGCCGTCGCCGCCCTCCAGCGGCAGGCGCGCCTCGCCCTCCGCCAGCGCCGCCAGCACCTCCGCGTCGAACACCTGCGCACCGCCACACCACCACTCACACTATTGCTACCTACCACGCACAACATGCCCGCACGTTATATTTCTTCTTTACCGTGTAGTGGCGGTATGAGAATATCCACTACGCCATATCGGAATACTGAAACAGGGGATGGGCAACAGCATCTTCTTGATAGCAACTCAAAATTAATAAAACTGCACTTTCCAAGTATGTTCGCGGTATATCCGCTTTGAGAGCTTATCTATGAGGAACGCCTATGTTAAGCACTATACTTTTATACCGGGTGTTTGTGAAACGCTCCCAAAAACGCAGACAGATGGTAGTACTAAGGACACCTTTGATCATGGGACACAAATAAATTCCATCCCGAGGAAAAAAAAAACATCTTTTCACAACGTTTCATTGACTTTATTTACGCTCCATCATGTTAATACAGTTAAATGAAACGATAATTTCATTAAAAAAAATCATGAAAATACTTAAACATAAAACCAGCAGTGAAACTTAAAATAAAATCAGCTGACAATCAGGTCAATATACTCGGAGACGATGCAAAACAATGCCTACTCACTCTACTCTTCCCTTTCACACACGCGCTTCCGTCGCTCGTGTCGCCTCGCGCTGTGGAATTTACACATGTCAGCTTTGAAAACATGTGGGGAATTCCCAAAATTGCGCGGAATTTAAAGTTGGTTGGAGATTTTATGGGGATTGGTATTATGCGAAGAAAATACGGAGATTTTGAAAATCGATAGTCAGGGCCAAGTCAGAACCTTTTTTCAAGAAATCTTAATAACTATCTTAACATTTTGTTAGGTTAATTATGAATGTCTAATGACTCCCTTTTTTTAATGATCTTCATTGCACCATATTTAATTTTCGCATTTATTTCGGCAACTATTGTGTATCATTTAAGGCTTTTCATTTCTTTATTTTTTTAATTTTAAAGAAAAAAAATATTAGTTAAAAAGTAAATCTTATAAAATTAGTTGAAAATTGATTAATTTCTTAAAATAAAATGGAGGGGAATTTGTGGGGAATCTGTTGAAGTTTTGTCCTTAAATTGGGGAATTTGACATGAATTTTCGGGGAATTTGACAATTTGGTGTTGGCAACGCTGCCATGTTGCACCGAAAATTAGTTTGCCGACGACATAAGAATTAGAGGCGGCAATCACTATAAAACTTGCAAGTAATTTTTAATAATTGAAGCGGCAGTAGCCTAATGGCAGGGCACGGACCCCGAACTCGAAAGGTCGTGCGTTAGAATCCACCATTCGACTACTGTCGTGAACCACTTCTAACACAAGCATTTTAAGCTTACCAGAAGTGGTTGAAGGGAATATTAGTAATGTTTAATAGCGTTACTAGTATTAAAAAAACTGACATACCTCTTTTTAAATTCAAAGTATTGGTCGCGTTAAATACAGAAAGTCCATTAAAATAAAGTAAAAGTATTATTTTTTACATTAATTCTGATAGATTAATTAACTGTCGATCATAATTGCAATTGATTTTAACTATTAAACTATTCGGTAACATTTCATTTCTATTTTCTTATACAAAATCGAAGATGCAATAGTGTTTATAATAATTGTGTAAGTGAGTACTGGGTACCCAATTAGGTACTTTTATTAATTTCAATATAATTTTTGTAGTAAAGAACTGCTTGTTGCGTCAGGGTACAATTGATTGTATTAAAAACGACAACCATAACTTCTAAATTCCATATGAAGACTAGTCGTAGGGATAACTAAACTTATAAATAAAATAAACGTTGGCAATGTCGTATGGGTTTTACGGTCTGTGGAAGAGCTATGTGTTTAAAGGACGAATGCCTCGTGCGCTTATTAATTTTAGTTTTTGAGACAGTTCCGTGCATAAACTATATAGAAACACTACGCGTTTTTCCGTATTGACAATCACGTGCGCGTGAGCGACATTTTAATCGTTTTGTTTATAACATTCTTGTTGTTACGTTTTACTTTTCTTGTTTTGTTTTAATAATGCCTAATGTGTATGTACGTTTATAGTGATCGTGAATACAGCAACATGTTAATGTGCCTTGGAAAATATCATAAGATTTAGATCGGTAAGCTGTTTCATACCTATTTTTTTTTTTAAATATCTTAGTACTGAACTAATCTGAATAGGTACATAACTGAATACATCAAAATAATAAACATCTACCTACACGATAGATAAAAAGCATGACTAACCTTGTTAACATTTCATTTAAGTAATTTTTTTTATTAGTGGGGAATCGAACCAGGTATTTGGTTTATTTAACCTGTGAATAAAGTGGCTAGGTGGAGACAAGCACAGTGGCAAAATAGTGGGTTAAGTAGTTAGGTATTTAGACAAGTGTTGTAAATTCTTAGGTATTGTGGTACCATCCGCTAGCTGCGGGCCGGGCGAATTCGTCGTTTGCGCGTACCTTGACTCCTAGTCAGCTGATTGTAATTTAGTAATTCCACTGCTTGTTTTATGGTTAAGTATTTTCATGATTTTTTTCAATGAAATTATCGTTTCATTTAGCTGTACTAACATGATGGCGCGCGAATAAAGCTAATATAATGTTGTAAAAAGATGATTTTATTTTTCATAAGGATCGAATTTATTTGTGACCCATGATCAAAGGGATCCTTAGTACTATCATCTGTCTTCGTTTTCGGGAGCGTTTCACAAACACCCTATAAGTTGTAATGGATGGATGAATGGATAGATAACGTTTATTCTGAACACGATATGAGCGATGCAATAGTATCACCATTGTAAAAGTTACACTTACCTTACCATTCTCATTTCATTCTTATTTTAAAAACGTTATAGCCACACTAGGATTTTATGCTGTATCGTGGAGGCAGTTTACAAACATAAATTACACAAGGACAAACATCAGGAGCAATTATTTGTAGGCCATACAAATACTTGTTCCGTGCGGGATTCGAACCCATGGCTCGAAGTGCTGCGATTTATTGTTAAGTCACTGCACCACGGAACCGTCCTATCAAAAGTCCATTAATTGAATACAGGCTTCTAACATAGATTAACTCACGAGAAGATATTTGGCATAGTTGCCACGCTTGGTAAGGTTGGCAACTGCAGTTTTTTTTTATTTGTTATTAGGAAGACGCTGCTGTCCATCTCCTGGTTTGGTTCCATCTGTGGCTTCTTATGTTACGGTCACATTACCATGATATGACAGTAATAATGGCCATAATTGGAACAATACCTAGGTGTAGCCACGATTTATGGCCATAATTTTACAATATCAATCAATATGACATATGACGGTAGGCAATCGGCTCCGGTGTCGGTCTTTTTCGCATATCAAAAACGATTACCGCAGTCATTTTTAGGTCAAGTGGATACATTACAGTTTGTTCAGTGTGCGACATGACCTTAACGGAAACGAACGGCTTTCTGTGCATTTTTATCATCCACCATCTTTTGTTCAATCTTGGTTTAGCTTTGTTAAAATGTAAAAGATTATGTAAGTAACTGACACTCATAAGATACAACGCCGCCGCAGCTTCAACGTGACATTTTTCCGTCTAGTTCATTGTCATATCTAGGTAAAGTCTAGTGTAAACACAGTACTTCACGCGGTAATTTAGGGTTTAATGTCATAATTGTTGCGCTAAATGAGCGGTAGATGGTAAGGTAGTGTAGTGGTAGACAGCTATGGGACGATATGGACTAGTGAATATTGTTACACCGTGGTTACACGGTTACAAAAGTAAGATTTAGCGTGATAACAATAAGGTCGTTAGTGCGGTGTGCGTGACCTCGACGAGCGTGTTGGCGGCGAGCGCGTGCCAGTCGGCGGGCTCGAGGCCGCGCGCGCCCCACCACTCGTCGCTGCGCCCGCCCCACTGCCGCGCCAGCTCCTGCGCACACGCTTGCACTGCTTTCTGCGGGTCAAACAATTACCGCTTACTAAACCCGACCATTACACGCCTACGCAAGTGTAAACCACTTCGATCAATCATGATTGATGTTTGAATGATAGAATAATTTCGACATTACACGCATATTCTGACTGATCGTCAGTCAAACCCAAAGTTTCAGAGGCAAAGGATGGATATTCATAAAAAAAATTTGTGTAAAAAAACGTATAAAAAGAAGGCGCTGGGTAATAGACTGGCTTTTAAAAAGGGCTTTCTATACCCATATTAACTTATTGACATACGGGTTTCAAAAGAGGATAAAGACTATGCAAATTATTTTCGCATGATTTTCTTTACGTGGTAGAGCCATGCTGCAGCTATATTAGTAGTATAATTGTAGCACGAATGGGTCGGCTCGACCGGGGAAGGACCACGCTCTCACAGAAAACCAGCGTAAAATAGCGGCTTAACGCTGCTGTGTTTCGTATGGTGAGTGTAGAGAGAACCGGAGACCCTTTTTACTGGCAAAGAGGCATTCCATCTTAGTCCTCACGGGCGACAACGCATCTGCATCTTCAGTCTTTATTGAGGATAGATGTAGATGTCTATGGGTCACAGTAACCACTTACCATCAGGTGGACTGTGTGCTCGTTTGTCACCCTATCCTATAAAAAAAAATGAAAGAGGCTTGTTTTGATAAATTACTGGTCTTGGTAACACCATACCTAAAAAAACAAGATACATGTATGCGAAAAGCTATAACTCCCAAAGAAAGGTAGGAGCAATAATGCGTGATTAACAAAATGCCATTACACGTTCAATCAAAAAGCGTGACTGATAGTTGATTGACGTAAAAATCAAAATATCCAGACATTTTTCAATCAATTTTATGCAACCGTCAATCACCGTATTACACGGTAGGTTATTCGTCAAACACAACCGTGATTGTTGTAAAACTGACAGCAAAACCTACTGTGTGCACCGAGTGTGTTGCAACAGTTGTGAGTACAGAGTTGTGAGCAGTGCTCTCACTGGTGAAAAATTCCTTCCGTTATGAACTGCCAGTGTACTGCCGCAGTACCCTAGGGAAATATATGATGTCAGAAATCGCCGCCATTTTTGCAATGTAAGCACTGGTGCTTACGATGTAAGGTGCTCTCAGTACGTCTCACGTGATCAAAAATATAACAGCGCCTAGAGATTTAATAGCTTCCACGAATGATTGTTGTCATTATTAATTTATATTGTCATTCAAATAAACTCGGACATTAAATTATAAAAGCAAAAACATTCAAATAATAATTTTCTTTTTGACGAAACACGTGTACATAATAAATATTTAAATTTGAAAACAGTGTCGAAAAATGGGGATGACAGTATACTGGACTGCGTTCCGTTTTAAACAGTAACCAGTATAGCAAACTAAAAAGGAACAGCTTCACAGTATACTGAATTGACATCGCACCTTACATTGTTCACAGTATATATCGGAATGCACCCTATACCCCCATTACTCGTGGTTGTATGAAATCATATGAAACATTGCAGTCACACTGTACGCGCGCCGTATTTTATAAAATGCGGTAGGTATCCGAATATTGAAGGAGGTATGCTGATGACATCATAATAACGCAGCGCGTGCTGATAATCAGTGTTGTCTAATGTTGCCTACTTAGTAAATTTTCCACTAAAACTGGTGGTTTGACTTTCGTTTTGAAATATATTTTAGTATATGTAGCAATTCTTGAAATTTCTTGTATGCCAAATGAAAATATCCGAAAAATCGTTCATCATCATCATCTGATATATGAAATAAAGTATAATATTCATACTGCATTTTTAAATTAATATTGTGAATTCATCATCTTCTTTTTCTTGGTTTTTTTACTTTCTTCTTCCTCTGCCAATAAGCAGGCTTATACAACAATTGTTTCCTTATCGATCCGAGCGATTCCGAGCGATCAATGTCACTGTACCGTTTCACACCTGTACAGTGGTTGTAAAAAACTGCAGAAGTTGTTGGCAATACGGCAAGACTGCTGACAAATGTATCTTCAGCAAGCTGTACTTCACTTTCCACTGCACAATAATAAATGATAAAAAAATGCCTTGATATACACTCCACATAGGAGTATTAAGTGTGTGGAGAATATAAAAAATAAATTGCGGTTGACAACCCGCTTGCCAAGTGTGGCAAGTCTAACAAATTCCCTATGAGGCAATCTATGGGGGAGGCCTATGTTCAGCAGTGGACTTTAATAGGCTGTAACGGTAACGGTAACATTTTCAAAATCTTTGGTGACAATCTCTACTGTGTGCGACTGTTTGACCATAGCCATTATGTTTTTTTTATAGGAGAGGGGCAAACGTGCATGCGGCTCATCTGATAGTAAGTGACTACCGCCGCCCATGAACAACTGCAACACCAGGGGAGTAATTGCAGATGCGTTGCCGGCATTTTAAAAAGGAGCTGTTTTCTTGAAGGTTCCTAAGTCGTATCGGTCCGGAAAAAATCGCTGGTGGTAATTGATTTCACAAGGAAGTTGTGCGAGGGAGAAAATTTCTTCTAAATCACACAGTGGTGGACCGCCAATCATCCAGATGGTATGGATGGCATCGCGAGTTTTGTCACGATGTGCGATGGTGAAATTGAGCGGCTGGAATTAGTCCGAACAATTCCTCAGAGCACTCCTCGTGATAGATGCGATAAAATACGCAAAGAGATGCAACATCTCTACGCAGTGCCAGTGAGTCAATCCGATCGGAAAGAACTCGGTCGTCGACGATTCGAACCGCTCTGCACTGGATGCGGTCAAGTGGAAGGAGCTGGCACTGAAGAGCCCCTGCGCAGAAATGAGTATGAGAACAGTATTCCATGTGAGGCCGAACGTGCGCCTGTAAGCGGTGTGCCGGCATGATATACTGTCCCGCTCTGCTAAGATCGCCAAGCTTTTTAGAGGTCAATTTGGCCTTCTCTTCCAAGTGACCACGAAACTGCACGTCACTCGATATTTCGACACCGAGGATTCCGATACTGGCTGAGGCAACAAGGGGAGTGCCTTGAAACTGAGGAGATACGACAAAGGGGTTCTTTTTAGCGGTAAACGCGCAAACTTGTGTCTTCTGAGGATTAAACTGGACTAGATTTAGTCGTCCCCAATCAGAGACTTTGTTCAGCAAAGACTCGACTTCAGACACAAGTTTGTTCCGGTACTCGGCGACGTTTTCCCGAGAAATATTGGCACGGCCGGTGTATAGAGCATCACCAGTGCTGTCATCCGCATAGCAATGAATGTTACCAGTTAGCAACATATCATTGATATGCAGAAGAAATAGCGTTGGTGAGAGCACGGAGCCTTGTGGAACACCAGCGTTAATTTGCTTGTAATCGGAACATGCACCGTCTACTACGACCTTGATGCTCCGATCTGCAAGAAAACTGGTGATCCAATTGCACAATTTCTCGGGAAGTCCATAGGAAGGCAGCTTCGAAAGAAGCGCTTTGTGCCAAATCCGATCGAAAGCCTTCGCTATGTCCAAACTAACGGCCAACCAACGCCTCCCTCTTGGACTCCACTGCCTCCGCCCATCTATGAGTTAGGTAACCTAGAAAATCACCAGCTGTGCGACCTCGACGGAAACCGTACTGGCGGTCACAAATAAGCTGGTGATCCTCAAGGTACCGCATGAGCTGGCTGTTAATAATGGTCTGCATTACTTTGGAGAACAAGGAGGTGATAGCGATAGGCCTGTAGTTGGACGGATCTGAGCGGCCGTTATGTATTTGTTATCGACAGTATCTACGTCAACAATGAATATTTTAATTTATTTTATTTAATGTCTTTATAACACATATATAAGAAGAGAAGTAGTGCAGAAAGCTAAAATTTATGTATTATACATAAATTTTAGCTTTCTGCACTACTTCTCCTTATAACCTATAAGCATGCCGATTTCTTTATAAAAATCATTCTTGTGGCTTAGGAGGACCAACTGACGCCAAAATATTAATATGTCATTTATATTAGCTCTTCGAAAATTCAATAAATTTTGTTTTCTCACTTTACAACTTGTTCTTAAAAAGAGTATTTGACAGTTACAAAAGATGTACCCTGAGTTCTGGCGCTGTCATACGGATGCGAGCTCGAGCCGCATCTGTAAGTCCTAGAGCTAGGTCACGTCTTCTCGCAGCCAGCTTCTCGCGAACTGACATCACTAGCTCACTGCACTCCTTCTCTAGCTGCTTGTATGCACCAGTCTGAAAAAACAAAAAAGGTTTTTTTTAATAACTGACTTTACGGCTCTGAGTTCTAGCCCTTCTGAGCCTGAAGTTACAATGTATAATTATCCTTCATAGTACACTGCTTCACAATATGTTGATGCGTCACATTGTGTAGCCCTTGGGAGATTTTGAGGGCAACTTGAGCCAACAGACAGCTGACAGTTGGCGATGGTATCTCACGGCGTCTAAGCAGACAGACACCTTATCTTGAGAATTACATTACCATCAGAGCACTTGTTTCAGCGTTTCCACTAATAGTTTACATGCACAGATATTTAATACACAAAATCTCACTACTTTTACATATCAAAATCCACTTCAAACCATTATTTAAACAATAATACAAGAATAGCAATCCGTCGTCGATCAAGTTCCCGCCAAAACCCCAAATGCTTTATTAATTTTATTACTATAGATTAGTGTAAATCATGAAGATAAATCCTATTGGCATCGAAATGGCATTATAGGTATTTATGATACATACAGCAAAAGGTGTGAGATAGTCAACATAAATTAACATCATAAATTGAACAAGAAAATCCTTTTTTTTTTCTCGTTGGAGATCTATTCTAAGCATATGTAGTAATTTTACCCTCGTTTTCGAATGTAAAATGACTTCGACTTTCTTCTTCGACCTGATCTATGATTTTAGTTAAGTTAAGTTCTTCTAGCTGTTTGATATTAGTTAGTTCAGCACTACTCGATGGGAAAAATGGATATTGGCTACTTGACAGAATTGATAGATTGGTGATTGCGTACATTTTTCACATCTTTCGAAATTGCAATTCATAAATATAAAAAAAAAATTAAATACGTACTATGCTGTTTTACAAAGATCGAAAGTCTTAAAGCAACGCTTGCGAAACGCCGTATTATTGAGAAGACCATGGGAGGGTCTAACAAGAGTAGTAGTAGTGGATTGTGAAATTTGAAGACGGGAAAAAGGTGGTTATACCTTAGCGATCTGCACGGAGAAGGGTCCAAAGCAGGCATCCACGAAGTGCGCGTAGTCGCGAAGCGGGCGCTCGATGAGGTTCTCGATGTCGCTGGCCCACTCCGCCAGCGCCTCCAGCTCCGCGCGTGCGCACACCGCCGCGAGCGCCTGCGCAGCTCTAAGCACATCGTAATAAATACATTGACATGTACTACGATTTGAGATAGATCGGCGACAGGAAGTTAGAGTCTGCGTGCAACGCGAAACGTGTGTGTGTGAGAGATGCATGCGTGCGTGCGTGTGCATGTGTTGTGTGCGTTATGAGTGAGGAGTGCGTGCGTATGCGTTTTGCGAGCGTGTAAATGTGTTGCGTGCTTACGAGTGTGTGCTTGCGTGTGCGCGTGGTGCGTGTTGCGTGCGTGCGTGTATGTGTGTGTGTTAAGCGCTACTCACGTGATCTGGTAGCAGGCGCGCGTGTGCAGGCCGGGGCCGGCCACGCGGCGGCAGAAGGCGGAGTCGTGCGCGGGCACGCGGGCGCAGCGCACTATCACTGCTCGCCACGCCACCTCCTCCCACACGCCACGCACTGCCCACCAACTCACACCACCTTTGATAATATCACCAAAAGTTAATGCTAAAGTATCATAATTGTGCACGGCCAAGTCGTTATCAGGTCCTTATAAGGCACGGGCCTTAGATAAAAACTAGATGTATAAGTGGGAGAAGGGGGCGGGACATATTAGTCATGTTTTGGTACAAGAGGAATGCACATCGCTTGGTCAGCAGCGGAGCTTTCGGGTGCTCGTTTTTCTGGTCTCATGGCCCCTATAGATATGGAGACCATGCAGAAAAGCGCGCCATGTGTCCCACCAACGCACTTTACTCGCGTGGTACCAATGACTTAGTGTGCACTTTAATACAAATTTTAATTACCTGCACATTTACTGCAAATAATCCATTTCCCTTTGTAATCCCGAAATACAGTTTTTTCGGTAATTAATTGATAACTATAGACATTTTCACCAATCTTAAATTCGTGTAAAATATATTTTTAACACATAATATTATAAAATTATTGGTCACTCACTTTCATACATTTTTTGGGATATTTTTTAATATTTTTTTAGAGCGGCCATTAGTTCTGGTATAAGCCATTGCAAGGTTATCCATTAATTACCGGAAAGTGAATTTTAATTTAATTTTACAACATTCATTTAATAAAGAATTACTCACCAACTAACAAAATTAATGCAAAGAGCGGACAGAACACCACGGCCACGACAAATGCGATGATCGGCTGCAGAATACCCAACAAGCCGATTTGCCAAATGAGTATTTGAAATAACACCAGATATCTAAAAAAAGAATAATATATTAATAGTGTATACCATAACTCGTGTGAATGTCTAAGAAATAACAAAACATACAGGAAGAATTGTGGCATAACGTTGGCCAGTAGTAAACTCAATGGCCGCTGGCTGTAAACATGAGTCAAGTTGTTTTTGGCTTTGCGTCACGTCAGTGTCAGCAAATAAAGAATAAAGATATCCGCGATGTGCGTGCGACCAGCAACGCATCTAATAAATTGAGTTCATACAAGTTACAAGTTAGGTGAGTATCGGTGAGAGAAAAATGAAGTCATTGGTATCGGGTTCGTACTGCGGGTTAGGGTCTGTAGTCGATGTTATGTCAGGTCGCCGTTGTGATGGGTACAAATTGGTACAGTGGTACTGGTAAGCGGGCTTGTAAGCTGCGGATGATAAACAGCAGAGTCGTTGATCGTAGGTCTTCTATTAATTGTCGCACGTAAATACCTAGAGGGTCATTAATCGTCTCCTATCCCATCTCGGCATGGGAGTGGAAACCAGTTCCCGCGCGAGTGAGAACCAGCACTAAGGGTCGCTAACCGTGTTCTGTCAAGGTTAGGTTTGCAGCAAACGGGAGCGGGAACCTGTAGTCGCGCGAGTGAGAGCTGATCGTCTCCAGCACCTGTTGTCCTGCGGGCGCGGGCAGTCCAGGTCATAGAGCAGCGCGGCGGCGGCGTGCAGCGCCAGTGCGAGCGGCGGCGCCCACAGCGGCACGCACAGCGCGCCGCATAGCGCCAGCGCGCAGCCCAGCAGCGCGCACAGCGGGAGCGGATACCTGTTGTCCTGCGGGCGCGGGCAGTCCAGGTCATAGAGCAGCGCGGCGGCGGCGTGCAGCGCCAGTGCGAGCGGCGGCGCCCACAGCGGCACGCACAGCGCGCCGCATAGCGCCAGCGCGCAGCCCAGCAGCGCGCACAGCGGGAGCGGATACCTGTTGTCCTGCGGGCGCGGGCAGTCCAGGTCATAGAGCAGCGCGGCGGCGGCGTGCAGCGCCAGTGCGAGCGGCGGCGCCCACAGCGGCACGCACAGCGCGCCGCATAGCGCCAGCGCGCAGCCCAGCAGCGCGCACAGCGGGAGCGGATACCTGTTGTCCTGCGGGCGCGGGCAGTCCAGGTCATAGAGCAGCGCGGCGGCGGCGTGCAGCGCCAGTGCGAGCGGCGGCGCCCACAGCGGCACGCACAGCGCGCCGCATAGCGCCAGCGCGCAGCCCAGCAGCGCGCACAGCGGGAGCGGATACCTGTTGTCCTGCGGGCGCGGGCAGTCCAGGTCATAGAGCAGCGCGGCGGCGGCGTGCAGCGCCAGTGCGAGCGGCGGCGCCCACAGCGGCACGCACAGCGCGCCGCATAGCGCCAGCGCGCAGCCCAGCAGCGCGCACAGCGGGAGCGGATACCTGTTGTCCTGCGGGCGCGGGCAGTCCAGGTCATAGAGCAGCGCGGCGGCGGCGTGCAGCGCCAGTGCGAGCGGCGGCGCCCACAGCGGCACGCACAGCGCGCCGCATAGCGCCAGCGCGCAGCCCAGCAGCGCGCACAGCGGGAGCGGATACCTGTTGTCCTGCGGGCGCGGGCAGTCCAGGTCATAGAGCAGCGCGGCGGCGGCGTGCAGCGCCAGTGCGAGCGGCGGCGCCCACAGCGGCACGCACAGCGCGCCGCATAGCGCCAGCGCGCAGCCCAGCAGCGCGCACAGCGGGAGCGGATACCTGTTGTCCTGCGGGCGCGGGCAGTCCAGGTCATAGAGCAGCGCGGCGGCGGCGTGCAGCGCCAGCGCGAGCGGCGGCGCCCACAGCGGCACGCACAGCGCGCCGCACAGCGCCAGCGCACAGCCCAGCACCACGCACAGCGGGAACGCCAGCAACAGCGCCAGCGACCCCAGCCCACCCACCACGCCGTACGTCCATGCGCGGTGCGCCTGCCTGCTCAGCCCTTTTCCCAGTAGACCTGACAAAAATCTTTAAGTTATTTTTTTTTTGTTGGTCTACAGATCGATGGAAAAAATGAAAAAAAATCTTGCTCGAAAGACCAAATATAGAATAAACTATCGAAGGTGTACTAGTATAGTAGTTAGCTGACTATACAGAAATGGTAGGGCATCTGTCCTAACGCCCTAACCTCCTAACACATACTCTAGTTTACCCTCTTCACCCTAACAACCCTAGTATTAGCCATAGTGATTATATACACCGTGCCCCGGAACTGAACGTCAAGCGGGCACGGAAAGAGGGGGGGGGGGAGGTCATACCAGCACCGGGAAAAATAAAAAAAATCCATATCAGTTAGTTCAGTTGTAACCTATAAATTTATGAAAATGAGGAAAATCAACACCTTAAATCATATTAGGTATTGTCTTGGGTATTGTGACTACAAATCTCAATTTTACAGTGCTTTTATCACGTTAGTGAAAAAAACAATATAAAATAAAATTTAATTTACGTGGTCTTAAATAATCGCAGTCACAAATCAAGCAACAAAAGGTGGCTAATTAGAAGGCTAGCTAGGTAGAGTTAGGTTAGTTAAAATTAACGTAGTTTCTATTAGTCGTAGTTGAAAAAATAAAATCACCTAAATTTGACTCTACATTAAAAAAAAACATACTATACTATCGTAATCGTAGGCAAGTAACTTCAAAAGATGGCCAAAAGATTTCTAAATTGTATAATACATATAACTTTCCATTGTTAAAAAATAAAATTAATTTGATTTTCTACCTACACCACAATATATTTTCATCTATTAAATATTGAATTCAACAAGTGAAAGTTAAACAGAAATGCTTTTGAATAAATAGATAATTTTGCAATAACCGGTCCTAAAAGGTAAAACAAAAATTAAAGAAAAAATTAAAACATTATATTATTATTATTATAATAATGTATCATTTATTTTACATACCTGTATCAGGTTCTGTTTCAAAACGAGTACGCTCTTTAGAAACGTGCCGCCATAGCTTCAGCAAACGCGACCACATCGTCTGAGTCTCACTACTCCGCTTTGGGAAAAGAGTTCCATTTACCTACGCCAAAAATAATTACTGTTAATAATCTAAAACTTTATATATATTCACTTATATATTTTTGTGATATATTCTGCAGTACCTGTGATAGTTCGTAGTCTGTTACGAAAGGTTTGACCCGTAGTAGAGTTCGTAAGGAAATTGGTGAATACCAGGGAACCATCACGCCGAGTAGAAACATCATGTTCCAGCTCCAACACCACGTTCTAAAGTGGATAGACAAATAATATGTTAAATTATCAGGTTTTAAGTTATTTAGTAAATTGAAATTTATCTGATATGACTTTTACGTTAAAGAATTCGAGATAAAACTTTTGATAGATACTGGTAGATATGGAGAAGGGCTAAATGCTATAAATTTTCTTGTTGTCTGAGCGTTCTCTTTATTGCCAGTATCCGTTGTTGGCCCACAGTAGTAGCCAAAACCAGCGCACGAAGTACAGCATGCCGGTAGTACATTTCATAGTGCGTCAGACGCAACGTTACTGGCAATGAACTAACCAGGTGCGCGCAGAGCAACGTGCTGGCAGCTGCTGACGTTACAGTGACCTGTGCACCGTGTAGTGTTCAGTGGGTGATGCAGTGCAATGACCTGTGCTGGAAGTGCGTCACCTGTGCGCGAGGTTGAGCAGGCGCCAGGCGGGCCAGCGCCAGGCGGGCCAGCGCGTGGTGGTGGTGCGGGTGCGCTCGCGGTGCAGCAGGAACACGGGCTGGCAGCTGGCAGCTGGCAGCTGGCAGTGCGTCACCTGTGCGCGAGGTTGAGCAGGCGCCAGGCGGGCCAGCGCCAGGCGGGCCAGCGCGTGGTGGTGGTGCGGGTGCGCTCGCGGTGCAGCAGGAACACGGGCTGGCAGCTGGCAGCTGGCAGCTGGCAGTGCGTCACCTGTGCGCGAGGTTGAGCAGGCGCCAGGCGGGCCAGCGCGTGGTGGTGGTGCGGGTGCGCTCGCGGTGCAGCAGGAACACGGGCTGGCAGCTGGCAGCTGGCAGTGCGTCACCTGTGCGCGAGGTTGAGCAGGCGCCAGGCGGGCCAGCGCGTGGTGGTGGTGCGGGTGCGCTCGCGGTGCAGCAGGAACACGGGCTGGCAGCTGGCAGCTGGCAGTGCGTCACCTGTGCGCGAGGTTGAGCAGGCGCCAGGCGGGCCAGCGCGTGGTGGTGGTGCGGGTGCGCTCGCGGTGCAGCAGGAACACGGGCTGGCAGCTGGCAGTGCGTCACCTGTGCGCGAGGTTGAGCAGGCGCCAGGCGGGCCAGCGCGTGGTGGTGGTGCGGGTGCGCTCGCGGTGCAGCAGGAACACGGGCTGGCAGCTGGCAGTGCGTCACCTGTGCGCGAGGTTGAGCAGGCGCCAGGCGGGCCAGCGCGTGGTGGTGGTGCGGGTGCGCTCGCGGTGCAGCAGGAACACGGGCTGGCAGCTGGCAGTGCGTCACCTGTGCGCGAGGTTGAGCAGGCGCCAGGCGGGCCAGCGCGTGGTGGTGGTGCGGGTGCGCTCGCGGTGCAGCAGGAACACGGGCTGGCAGCTGGCAGTGCGTCACCTGTGCGCGAGGTTGAGCAGGCGCCAGGCGGGCCAGCGCGTGGTGGTGGTGCGGGTGCGCTCGCGGTGCAGCAGGAACACGGGCTGGCAGCTGGCAGCTGGCAGTGCGTCACCTGTGCGCGAGGTTGAGCAGGCGCCAGGCGGGCCAGCGCGTGGTGGTGGTGCGGGTGCGCTCGCGGTGCAGCAGGAACACGGGCTGGCAGCTGGCAGTGCGTCACCTGTGCGCGAGGTTGAGCAGGCGCCAGGCGGGCCAGCGCGTGGTGGTGGTGCGGGTGCGCTCGCGGTGCAGCAGGAACACGGGCTGGCAGCTGGCAGTGCGTCACCTGTGCGCGAGGTTGAGCAGGCGCCAGGCGGGCCAGCGCGTGGTGGTGGTGCGGGTGCGCTCGCGGTGCAGCAGGAACACGGGCTGGCAGCTGGCAGTGCGTCACCTGTGCGCGAGGTTGAGCAGGCGCCAGGCGGGCCAGCGCGTGGTGGTGGTGCTGGTGCGCTCGCGGTGCAGCAGGAACACGGGCTGGCAGCTGGCAGTGCGTCACCTGTGCGCGAGGTTGAGCAGGCGCCAGGCGGGCCAGCGCGTGGTGGTGGTGCGGGTGCGCTCGCGGTGCAGCAGGAACACGGGCTGCGAGGGGTCGGAGCGCGGCGTCACGATGGAGGTGGCGCGCGCGCTCAGCACGGTGGGGATGCGCTCGCCGCGCCCGCGGAAGTGCCGCACCACCGTCCAGTTGCGCGCCAGCCAGATGCGCGTCGCCCACGTGAACTCGCGCGTCGGACTCTTCGCGCCGCGCAGCTCCTGCGACACGCATACAATCACATAATATGTGTCATGACAACGGTGTTCAAGTACAATTAGTTCAAAATATTCTACCTTACTGGTGTACAAATAATAGTGGTTAACTTATATAACAATATTTATCGAATTTTTAACAACACAAATTATTTAATATTATTTAATTGATTCGATAATTAATTAATTCAATGATTTCAAAAGGATGGATACGCCCATCTAAACATTTTACTTATACTTTCTTCATACAAGCAAAAGTAGCACCATCTGTCATAACACATACGAACTACATGAGTGTCCCCTTGCATTGGTCGATGACGTAACCGGGGCTAGATTTCAAAGTATAATAATTATTCATAGGGTATAAGTATGTAGTATAGTAATAAATATCATCATTCATCATTACAGACTTTCATAAGTCCACTGCTGAACATAGGCCTCCCCCAAGGAATGCCACAAAGTAATAAATAAAATTAATAGAAATACAAATAAATTTATTTCTCAATAATACTATTTCATTAATTAGTGGTGAAACAACCCCTGTGAAATCCCTTAAAGACTGTGTAAGACCCTCCGAAGGAGGCGGAGTTATAGCCGAAATAAGAATTTAAATTTTTTGGTTTGTGGCCATTTTGACTCCCTAGGAGTGTAATGAGAACATTTTGCTCCTATTCAACCATGACCCCCATAACGTCCTCTACATCTACATGATAGGCTATTCAAACTGACTATGCCTAACGTTCGAGCCACCCCCCAATTTTTTGGGTTTGGGCCATTTTGACCCCCTAGGAGTGTAATAAGAACTTTTGCCCATATTCAAAAATGACTAGGCCTAAAGTTCAAGTCATCCCCCAACTCATTTCTAAAGTCTTTACTTCCAATTTATGTTTGTAAACTGCCTTCACGATACAGGAGAATATCCTAGTGTAGGGGTAACTTTTTTAAAAAAAGAAAAAGAAAAAAAGAAAAAGGAAAGAAAAGAAAGAAAAAAGAAAAGAAAGAAAAAAAGAAAAGAATTACAAATTATTGATATACGTGTATTTGCTTTCGTCCAACACCGTGTTGCGACAATTACTAAATTTAGTAGATGGGATAAAAATAAAAAGGGTATTTATAGTCTAGTATTTTACATTTGCATCTTAATTACATTACAATTTACACAAATACATACGCACACGTAAACAAAATGCGTGCAATTTTTGACGTATGTGCATCGTCCTCGCACGCAAACACCTACCTTGAGCAATAGAGGTTCCCGGTCCCGCAGAAAGGCGAGATCCCGCAGTAGGAAGTACCGATGCTGGTGCAACTTCTGCGCCTGCATGGCGGCCGCCGCGTCCTCGTACGGCGCCCAGCTCAGCTCGCTTTTCAGTCGCTGTGCGGCTGCCGCCAACTTCTCCTTCCGCCACGCGTCCGCGCGGGACAAGATCGGGTGTGACGCGCAAATCCGCGCTTCGGCCGTAGCTAGTCCCGCTTCCAGTTTACGATGGACGCCTTCTTTCGCTCTAAAACGGTGAAAAATAAAGTTAAGATGACTATAACTACATAATTTAAAGACTACCTTGCTGCCCAGTGTCACGAGAATTTGATTACTACGCGAGTTCGATTATTGAATCCTATTATTGCTAGATTTCGAGTTCGGCTTAAAATTAATACCACACTAAGATTTTTTTACTATCTTGTGGATGTCACTACATTTTTTTATAGGATAGAGTGACAAACGAGCACACAGTCCACGTGATGGTAAGTGGTTGATATGTCCCATAGACATCTACATTTATTCTCAATAAAGAATCAAAATGCAGATGTGTCGTCACCCGTGAGGACTTAGATGGAATGCCTCTTTTCCATTAAAATGGGTCTCCGGTTCTCTACACTCACCATACAAAACAAAACAGAGTTAAGCTGTCACTTTACGCTGGTATTCTGTGAGAGCGTGGTCCTTCCTCGATCAAGCCGACCCATTTGTGCTACAACTATACTACTAATATAGCTGTAGCATGGCTCTACCACGTATAAACAATTAACATACATTTAACATGGACAAATATCTAGACTCGAAAAACAATGATTTAATTTAAACAATGAACACACAGCCTTCAGCGCCGCAACTCAATTCTAAGTCAAAGCCACTGCGCAACAGCGCAGTTATTAGTATTAGTTATAGTCATACTTAGTTATCTGAAATAAGGTAAAAACCACTATAATTACGGGTTGTGAGACATTACATCTTAGTCCTCTAAGATAACAACACATCTGTAGCCATTATTGTTTGAAGCTAGCTGCAGACGTCCATGACACGGCAATAGCCATTTACTATCAAGTGAACTGAAAGTTCGTTCGGCACTGAAGCTTTATAAAAAAAAGAAGAAGTACAAGCATCCCACCCTAGCTAATGAATGTATGAAGTACAACACAAATAGCCACATCGGAATAGGGTATTACACCCATTTTCAAAAATGTTTTAAATGAATCCTAGAGTGATAATGAACCACTATAATTTTTATATAAATTTTTTAAAACCGAATAGTAACATAAAAATTACTTTTAATCTATCGTTTTAAATTTTCGCGTGAAAACGCTAGCCGCCATACTGTTCAACTCGTGACGTCTCACTGTCCTAGAATTTGGAGAATTTTGAAAGGAATAAGATACATTTGAATGTTTAATAATGAGCTATCATTTCTATCATTGTTGTGTTGTGCCTGATTGCAAAAATACGAGCATAAGAACGCCGAGGAAGTTATGGATTAAAGTGCCAACTGATTTAAATATGAGAAATACTTCGTTAAAACTGGCAAGAAGAGACCCGAAGGCATTATCTACAAAATCTAAACTATACTTTGATGTAAGAATGTCTTATATTTAACCATCGATTAAACAAAACAAAACATGATAGGTACCTATTGCAAGTCAAATTTTGTAATAGATTAGGTTAATCGCTCGTCTGTCCCGCCCTTTGTGGGCCATTTTGATAGCCCCTGCAAGTGCAGTGCAGTGTTTTACTTAATTCCTGTTTTCTTCTATTATATGGGAATAAAGACATGGTTTGTACACAGACCAAATAAAAAAGTGATTTTTTATTTCGTCTGAGGGTTTGTACAAAAAAATATAACAAAAAGTTTTTGTCACCTAAGCTTATATTATAATATTTATAACATTAGTGCTAAAAGCGAAGTAATAAACTCGCTTTTACGAATCCGTCTTCCATGATGCCTTTTCAATAAAATTCGGAATAAAAGTCAACAATCGTAATGATAACTTGAAAAATTTCAAAATTAGCTAGTTAGTACACAGCACATAACCTAGTTCTTTGACCTAGTGACGTCACGACGCTATCTAATACGGCAGACATCATTTTGCAGATTTGAGCCACAGGTAAAAAAAAATATTCTTTACATTGAAATATAAAATTTATAATGCATTTTTATACATAGAAATCAATATTTCTCGTTTACTTTTTACAAAATCTATCATAAATATTTTTTTATTTATTAATTTATACACTTTATTGTACTAAAGGTACAAACGGCGGACTTAATGTCATGTGGCATTTTCTACCAGCCAACCGGAAAGTTAGTGGGAGATGTGTGTACTGCAGTGGGCTAGGATGAAAACCTAAGATTGATTAAATTATAAAATTAAATATATATTCTTTGATTTTTTTTACATGGTGTAAAATACCCTATTCCAATGCGATCAACGAAATTGTAACCTCTATTGCTTTAAGGTTATAATTTCGTTAGTTATACTCATAGTTATAGTTATATCTAAGAAATACCTTTTGACAGCTCAGCTGTCAGACTTATTGGATTAGGCATGCCAACCAAAAATTCGGTACGTATAATAATCGATTCTTAAGAAAAATCGATATCGATTCTTTAAAGTTGGTAATTATTTAGTTTTGTTTCGATTAATACCAGAATAAATCAGAAACGGAAAATTTAAAACACAAAATTCATCAGTTTCTTTGTGTTACGGCCTTCAGTTGCCCCGACAGAAGTCGACTGGACCAGGGCCCATGAGTGATCTACTCGACGGGCAACCAGAGGGTTCGGGCCCAAATGGCCTTATGGACAATTGACCTATGTCAATTCACTATATCAGTCTATCAACTTCATTGTACATTTAACTAACTTCAAAAATCAACTAAATCCCGTTAATTATAATCAAAAAACGTAACACGCGGCACGACTGATGAACGGTGGGTCAAAGTTCACTTCCGTTCACTCAGCAACAAATTATTTCGAGAACCGAACGCGACCTTCTAAGGCACTTAACGCAACGGTACAATTATACATTAACTTGCAAACAATAAATCAACCCGGCGTCTAATTTTCTAGACTCCACAACTTCTCGTCGTTGCATAAATTTGCTAACAAAATCGACACAATCAGAGGTTATGTACGTGACCACGCGGCCCGAGTAGACTCACTGCAATATTACGACCCGGCCGCCGCTGGCGACAAAAACTGCCCGATCTCCCACGCGTCCGGCCCGTGCGGGGAGGCGCGCGCGAGCCGCGTACCAGCCGGTGCTAGGTACATCGGAGCGCGCCGACGCGCCCCGTTATGTTGTTTTTAAATTTTAGCGTTTGGCGCAAACACTTTGGATTTATTGTTACTGCTTATGTTTAGAGTCAACGTTTTATAACTAAGTTAAGATTGAAACTAGATTAAAAATAAATGTATTTAATCACCTTCCCTACAACTAGTTGAGATGTCGTTGTTTAGATTAATTATTAATTAAGTTAAAGTTAAATTTAAAGTTACAGCATATATATGTCCCACTGCTGGGCACAGGCCTCCACTCATTTCTGAGAGGGTTTTAGGACAAAGAAATGTCCGCTGCTTTGCCCCAATGCGTGTTGGCAAACTTCACGTCTTCGAATTTTTTTTCTTATTTCTCAGACATTCAGGTTTCTTCACGATGTTTTCCTTCACCGCCGAGCACGTGGTAAATCAGCACTTAAAATTGCAATTAACAATTCCATTGGTGCCGGCGGGGATCGAACCAGAGTTATTCGCGTACTGTGAAATTTACAGCGAGCGCTAACTATCTGAGCAACCACGGCTAATTATTATTTGATTTTCAATAATGCACTTGTTGCATGGGTACATGCTTTCTTCAGCAAACCGTCCATCTTATTCGCCATGAAAGATGGCTCTGTGTTATGTCGTGCTGCATAGCTGTAAAAGCATAAGAATCAATTTAATAGCATTATATTGGTAGTGATATGATGGTAGTCTTATAATTTTATGTCCGTGATCTTCTGCTTATTTATCAGTAACGAACAACGGTTTACGTAGTTTATTTTGTTTTACTAATTGTGTTAGCTCTGCTTTTAATACATTCATATGCGCTTCCACTCCTTTGTGTTGTACCCATGCTACTAAATCTGTTTTCTTGTTAGCTTGGGTTGGCGCTTTGTCGATTTGGACAGAATGGTACGGGGAGTTATTATTGTGTTATTCGCATAACCGGCGCCCATGAACATTTGTAACACCAGGGGAATTGCCAATGTTTGTCAATTCCGAGTACTTCACCGACACGATCTTGCACTTGTGTCACTGGTAAAAGGCGCTCACGCTTTTGTAACTCACGTTCGAAATATTGTGAAAAATTAATTGTGATTTCACCACTAATGCAAGACCATGACTGTTTAAAGTACGACTACCACCCTTGCTTGCTTAGTCAGAGTCCAGTATATAACTTGCCAAGGTCAAATAATATAGTAAAAGCAGTCCAAAAAGTTATAGCCGAGTCACAAAATAAGAAGACAAATACAAAATCACTAAAGTTCGTACAGTAAGCTCCCAACATGGCGCGAGATTGGAATTACGTAGTGTGTTTTAAGCATGGCATTGGATATCAGTTTTTTTTTGTATACACATATTTGCCGACAAGTAGGAAATTATAAAAAAATACTATTTTATTCATGATTCATATAATAAAAGCAATTTTAAAAATAAAAATTTGCATAAAACAAAGGATAAATTAAAAAATTTAATGATTCGATTATTTGAATATTTTAACCGATTATTTGAATTTTTTTGCCGATTATTCGCATAACAATGAATTTTAATTATCCAAACACTACGTTAAGGTACATAGCGACATATCATTGAAAAAATTTTGGTTTTTTCAAACATTCGAACTTAAATTAGTGATAAAGAACGACACGCGTTGTAATGAAATATATATTATTTCATAATTATTGGGATTGATGTAAAAGATTATTTTAAATCGTGTGAGTACGCACGCTTGTACAAAGTTATTGCGCAATGATTTAAGTGAAACGTCAAAAGGTATTTCTTAGATTTGGTTGAGTATAGTTCATCAAAGGCCTTTCTGAGTGAACGGTCTCTCCGGGTCCTCGTCGATGGCTGCTCACCCGATACTGTGTCGCCACTGTAACGCCGATGTTCCTTAGAGGTTCTCTCCGTAACTCTCCTTCTGCTGCATATTAATGATCTGCTTATGCCCAGTATCTATGGGTATGCAGACGACAGCACAATTGTAGAGAGATACCAACCAACTGTCCGGGCCAGTCGGGTTTAAATCGTTGAGCGTGTGAATATAACACTACAGGCAGTCTCCGAATGGGACGATGCCAATCTCGTGAGAACGCCTCCAAAACACAAGCGTGTCTTTTCATCGCTAAAAGGAGACCGCTCACCCTGGCTCCTACTTTCCGGAGTGTATCCTTGGAGTAGACTGAGCGCCTTCCGTTGTTAGGGGTAGAATTTTCTCCGAATCTCAACTATGGGCGGTTCATTGAGTCCAGAGTTAAGACAGCCGCAAGGAAACTTTGTGTCCTTGCAAGGGTGCGGCGGTACTTCACGCCAGAGCAGCTTCAGTAGTGGAGAGGCGTGCTAAGAGGCTAATTGGTGACCTTGATTTGATTGAAACCAATTTTGTCAGCCTCGAGCACAGGCGCAGGGTAGCCAGTCTATCGGTATTCTATAGGATGCATTTCGGTGAGTGTGCGCAGGAATTACATGCTTTAATTCCTCTCTCTCATTTTCACCATCGGACAATCAGACTGTCGGCGGGTCTTCACCTCTTTGTTATCGATATTCCACGCATTATTTGGTTCTTACGGTTAGCTTTGTCTTTTGTAATGCGTACAGCAAAGGAGTGGAATAATTTGCCAGCGTCTATCTTTCCGTCCGAATACAATCTGGGCGTATTCAAAGCAAGAGTGAATAGGCTTTTGTTACGCTAAGACAGTGAGATTTACCATTTAGGGTTGCATCACAATTTACCACCAGGTGGAATTGTGGTCAAGCACTGGTTTATAATAAGTAAAAAAAAATATTAGTGTGTTATAGTATACGGCAACTAATTTGGCAAGGTTTTGCCGTAGTGGGAGAAAGTTTGCGCATGTACAACGGGACATATCCATTCCGCGCTCGGTAGTCGACTGGCCAACCAATCGCGCGCTCTGAAGTCGACTGGCCAACCAATCGGGTGCTCGGAACGATGCTACTTCGTTCCCGCGCCCCGCTTGATAACCAGAGATATAAAAAATGACTTCTGCGCATATAACGAATCTTGCCAAGTTAGACGCCGGCAACTATACCTGTCGAGCAGCACGGCAGCGCGCAGCTGCGCGGCGAGCAGGTCGGGCACGCCGGCGCCGAGCGCGCGCAGCGGCTCGCTGGCCAGCACGGCGCCGCACACGCGCGACACGTACCTGTCGAGCAGCACGGCAGCGCGCAGCTGCGCGGCGAGCAGGTCGGGCGCGCCGGCGCCGAGCGCGCGCAGCGGCTCGCTGGCCAGCACGGCGCCGCACACGCGCAACACGTACCTGTCGAGCAGCACGGCAGCGCGCAGCTGCGCGGCGAGCAGGTCGGGCACGCCGGCGCCGAGCGCGCGCAGCGGCTCGCTGGCCAGCACGGCGCCGCACACGCGCAACACGTACCTGTCGAGCAGCACGGCAGCGCGCAGCTGCGCGGCGAGCAGGTCGGGCACGCCGGCGCCGAGCGCGCGCAGCGGCTCGCTGGCCAGCACGGCGCCGCACACGCGCGACACGTACTCGCGCAGCGCCGCCGCGCGCACCTCCTGCGCACCGACAGTGCCCAAACACCGCACATTGTACAATCGTCATCATCACTCTACACACCGACTGATGATGACTATGGTTGGTTATACATATGTGGCGGCGTTGTCGTCGCGCAAGTCAAACACACCGAAGACTACGGCCCGTATTAATAAACGTTACTCAGCTCAAGTACACGCACTTGAGTACAATATTGAGGTTATGATCTTATTAATAAACATATCTCAAGATGCGGTTTAGATTTACGATATCAGCTGAGTGCCACGCTGATTAATAAACGATACTCAACTCTCAAGTGTGTGTACTTGAGTGCAAAACAGAGAACAGTATTCCTGAATACAGCGTTTTGAGATACTGTTTTCATGTGTTTATTAATTAGCAACGGTCTTGAGATGCTGATATCGTAATGAGAGCGTATCAAAGGATTACGCACTTGAGTTCGTCGTTGAGTAACGTTTATTAATATGGGCCTAAATCACGCTATCAAAGTTCTAAAGTACTGCGCTATATATAGGACAGCTCTGTACTAACACACTGAGCGTCTGCCGCTCCCCGGGCTGAGCACCTTGCCGGGTGGGAGATCTCTACTTTTCATTCCACGGCCAATATTTTTTCTTTTTTTATATAAAAAAAAAACGTTACCTCAATACTAGAATTTTTTCATGCATCGTGGGGGCAGTTTTCATTGTATATACAATACTACATATAATTTATCATGAACATTATTTATAGGCTATACAAATACTTGGTTTCATGCGGAATTCAAACCCGCGGCCATAAGCGCTGCAACTCATTACTAAGTCACCGTGCTACGGAATCGTAATGGTTAGTTTATATGTATAAAATAAATGTATAAAAACAAGTAATTGTATTTATGTAAACTTTCCTAAAAAAATGCCATAAATACCTCTTCGATATCCTTCAAGGGCACTTTCTGACTGGCGAGCTCGGCGGCCCTACGCTCCCTGAAGTGCAGGAACCAGCCGCGGGACTCGCGCTCCAGTATCGCTTGCAGATGCGTCGCCGCGCGACGCATTATATCGCGCTTGTATAATCTCAGATCCACCTGCATTAATAAACAAAATGCTGACTATGCGTTTTTACTTCTGAGGACTAAGTTGGAATTCTACGGTACCAGTAAAAAAGGTCTTCCAACAGTGCAGTGTGTGAATGTACGCGTACGTGTAAATGTGCGTGTACGTATGCGTGTGCGTGTGCGTGTGCGTGCGCGTGCGCGTGCAGTACCTGCGTGCGCTGCGGCGTGGTGTAGAGGCAGGGCACGGGCGGCGGCGGGCGCGGCGCGTCGCGCGCGTCGCTCTTCTCGGCGGCGGCGCGCCGCATCGCGCGCCCCACCCACGCCGCTAGCGCGCTGATGTCCTCGCGATGCTCCGGCTTACCGGTCACAAAGGGAAAACTCAGTACAGCACACCGAACCGAACACGGGATACACAACGTTATTGTTAACACAAGTGACGAGATAACACATCATATTATGTATTTCATTCATTAGTTACTCGTTCACTGCTGAACACAGGCCTATAGATTACCTCATAAGGGCCATATTTGCAATAATTTAGCAGGTGGCGCGACAACCGCAGTTTTCTATTATTTTGAAGTGTTATCAGTAAAATGCTGCTGCTCATCTCCATTTTCATTTCCCTCTGACGCCACTTACGACATTAAGACACTAAGCTTTATATTTACGTATCTAGAATCATTAAAAGTGGAAAATATATTTTTATATTATTCCACTGTTTATTTGAAGCTATAGTACAATAAGTTGAAATATATTTCAAGCCTATACCAATAATAAGTATTTTAAATTATGTTTTATTCTTAATTTTTTACCTCTTTCGGTCAAACCCACTAAAAGTTATGATGCTATGACAAATTGTAAAAGTTTCTTGAATGTCCCCAAATAAAGCTGATTGCTAGTTTACTGCGAAGCTAGATTGTCTAGATATTAAAGATCTAAATTTTACTGGCACATAACTTTAAGTAGGCTCAATGAATCTTTTTTCAAAGTCCGATAAACTGACATTCATCCACTTAAATGAAATAAAAATTTTTGGAAAATTGGAACAAAGACTAATGGAAGAAATGAATGAGAATAACAGAATACTGTACAATGAAAATGTTTTCTCACCTTACAGATAAGTTCTGCCACCAAGTATCTCGATCTCTCTTCGCGGATTTTCTTCTCAAGATCACGAGCTTCAAGTGAAGGCATACCAATGAGGAGGTCGAGTAATCTGTAATATGTATACAAAGTTTAAAGAAAAAAAAAAGCTTAATTAAATCAATTATACATAATCTACAATCATAGGTTAACTACGTTAGTTAAACAAAACGTAGCAGCTATATTGCGCTCGAACGGGGAAGGACCACCATATGGAGCGGGCGTTTTATTTCTGCACATTTTTCCATCATCACCAATCACGTGGAAGATAAATATTAACACCTTAAATTTCAATTAACAATTTCATTGGCGCCGTCGGATTCTAGTTCGGCGTACTGTAGAATTTAAAGGCAAGCGCTTATCTCTAAAGCAGTACTTGCTGCAGAATTTTTGACATATAAAAAGGTGCAAGCAGTTGTGAAGCGACACAACTTAAAACATACTAAATGTATTAAACATTACTTAACAGTTACCTTTACGTACCTATACAGTCCCTGTAGTAAAGCCTTCCCACCGGCAATCACAGACAAGGGTTCGTCTTTTAGAAGCCGGTCTCTTGCCACTACCACCACCAGTGCAACTGCCCTCGCCACGTGGCAATATAACTCTTCTCTGGCCCGCGCCCTGCCGCGCTGCAGCCATCCTGACACACGCCATACGTGGCTCTGCCCGGGGAAGTGACGCGATGGCACCTCGAATTCGCTAATGCGTTTTACAAAAAATTGTAAGAAAATGCAAATTTATGGAAGTTTAAGGCCGGTGTTCAAAGACAATTCTCAGTGTTAACATTTACGTAAAAATTCAAACTTTTAAAATTTTGAAGATTGTTTGAACTGTCTTGGACTACCGGACTAAAAACTAATATTATTTACTACCAGAGAATCAAGACTAAAAAAAACTGTTGAAAACATTTTAAATTTAATGCCAATTTTTTATATGATAATTTTAAAAAATCGTGTATTGTGACATTTCCTACTCACTCTTTGAGAAAAAATGCAATCCAACTGTTAAAATATCAAAATAAATAACATAATGATGCAAACTTGTAAATGAAATAACAGTGCTATGTAACAGTCAGCTTAAAAAAAAAAAAACTTGTTCGATAGCTATAACTTTTCATGTAAGAAAATTTACGAGTCTTATTTATTATACTAAAACAACACTCATCATGCCTCGATACATAAGGGTATCATTAAAATGAATGCTTAGTGTACTGTTGATGATATGACTACAGGGGTAATGCGGAAGACTAAACAGACATAATACACAAGGACACAGGAAGAAGAAGCACCTCATTCTGAAATATTACATGCTGTATGGCGAAAAACATTGGCGGCAAAAATTTGCAATCAACAATTAATTTCCGGAATCGAATAAAAACATTTTCAATGAGCGTCATTAGCCGTCACAAAATTTAAAAAAAAAAGAAACATTATTTTTATCTAGGCATTATTTGGCGCCAATGTTCATTTGTGACTTGGAATACACATAGAATATACCGTACATAGATAGATATCAGGGCAACGTACCCCCATTCGTGTATAGATTCCAATTGTTTAGTACTTAGCTTCTTTGGCTTAAATACTCTGTCCTTGTGCAAGCTTTATAGAACAAAAAATGATTCATAATAGTATATCTATATCATAACCTAATGGCGACAAGAACAAGCTCCAAGCTCGCTATACCATGTCCAGTTATAGACAAATAATGAGTGTTATTTATTGCTAAGGCGTTAAACAAACGCATAAAATATATCATTTCATGATAAATAACGCAACGTTGAGATAAAAAAATACACAGCGAACGAAATTAATGTGTTAGATGCCTACTTTTAAGTGATCCATGAGTCGTAAGCAATACATATAATATATCTATAATATGAATAAAAAATAAAGTAACGTTAATAAGCATCCCATTGCTCCTATTTGAGAAGGTTAGTGAAGTCATGGATACTCCGCCACGCTTTTCCAGTGCAGATTGGAAAGTTTCCTTAACATGATCAAAGATCAAATGATGGAGACGATCTCAAACATAATTATAAACTGCAAGCCAAACATATTACTCTAAAGCCGTGATAGGGTATTTTTATTTGGTGTTTATCTGAAGATAGCTAGAGTTAATAAGCTATGATTAGGTAATAACTAATAATTTATGAGGTTAGGACTAGGATTGTATTTTATGAGGGAATTAGAATGCACCTGTAGCAGATTCTAAAGACCCTTAATGATCTTCTTCTACGTTCTTAGCAGCCTGCAAAGTCCACTGCTGGAAATGGGTCTCTCTCGTGTAGGGTGGATTTTTTTTATAGGATAAGGGTGACAAGCGAGCACACAGTCCAACTGATGGTAAGTGGTTGCTGTGGCCAATGTGTGGAAATTAAAATGCAGATGCGTTGTCACCCGTGAGGACTAAGATGGAATGCCTCGTTTCCAGTAAAAAGGGTCTCCGGTTCTCTAACGATTTCCCATAATACGCTTGGATGACGAATTAATGACCGAAGTACGTCACGCACCTATGACACTGCTTCCAGTTACCAGTGGGAATTTTATTATGGTCTTGTTATACCCTCATCTTAAAGTTACAGCCTATATACGTCCCACTGCTGGGCACAGGACTCCTCTCATTTCTGAGAAGGTTTTAGTGCGAGGAAATGTCCGCCACGCCGCCCCAATGCTTGTTGCCGAACTTCACATGTCTTTCGAAATTTTTTTTCTTATTTCTCAGACATGGCAGTTTTCTCTCGATGTTTTCCTTTACCGCCGAGCACGGGGTAAATGAGCACTTAAAATTGCAATTAACAATTTTATTGATGCCGGCGGGGATCGAACCCGGGATGCTCGCGTACTGTGAAATTTACGGCGAGCGCTTAGACCCTGAGCTACCACGGCTCATACGTGCTCGAAACGTCGTGAATACAAAATAAGTTAATATACGCGATGAAATCCGTAAAAACTAAAAATATAAGAAATTATTATAAAATGTAGTATTTATAAGCTACGGCTCTAATACGTATTAATAACAACAATGGTGCTAATTCATCATACCATAACAACACCATTATTGTTTAAATGAAAAGTTAATTGAAGTTAACAAGCTTATAGAGCTTGTGTAAAAGCGGACCGGACTTTTGTTCAAAGGGCGCCAAACATTCGTTTACATAACACCACTAAATAAAGGGAATACTTATGAATGCGGCGTAGCTTAGAAGTCCGTCACAGACATGTCAAAGTACACAAGTATAATGCAAATATGTACGTACTAGCTTAGTAAGAATCTACTATGAAAATATGCAAGAGCAATACCAGCAATACAACGTCATTTTTTTAAAGAAATCTTTTTTTTTATAGGATAAGGGTAACAAACGACCACAGTCCACTTGATGGTAAGTGGTTGCTGCGGCCCATAGACATCTACATCCATCCTCTATTACGAATCAAAATGCAGATGCGTTGTCAGTTGTCACCCGTGAGGACTAAGATGGAATGCCTCGTTTATTTTCGTAATTCCTTCTGTTTAAGTTCTACTATTACATCACCAGATGGCAAGTGGTAATGCGGCTACATCGGATCACAAGATGGTAAAAAGCACTAGTTTATCCTAACAAAAGCCAATTTTAAATTGTAATCGAATGGAAAAAAACATGCCGGCAAATTTATATTACTCCATAGCTGTAAGTATTACTATGGGCGAAGGAAATCGCTTGGTTCGAATGCATGGTATGTCGACAACAAGGAGGCGATAGAAGGCAAGAGGAAGGGAATAATTAAGTCATGCGATTCCTGGAAACTATTCGAAATACATCACATCACCGAGCGGCTTGCTATTTTCCGCCTGTGTTCGAGACTGGCAAGATGAAGACAAACCATTATTGGATAGTCTCGGGTAGAAACTATGCTTAAAGAAAAGTATTTCTCCCGATATGAGTCCCTCAGTCGTGATGACACAGTCTGCGAAATTTGACATTTAGCTATCAAATTACATACTTTATATTTTAGTTCGCATATTTTCCACCATTTAGGATATCGATAGCTAAAATCTAATTCACGATATTAGCAAAAAAAAGGAAGTGGTAAAGTTACACGCTACAACGTACTATGACTGCTGCACAAAGGTCGGCTCGATCGGGAAAGAGCCGGCACACACGCACAGGATACCAGCGTGAAATAACAAACTAGTGCTGTTGTTTCGTATGATGAGTGACAAGAACCGGAAACCCTTTTTACTGGTAACGAGGCATTGCATTCCATCTTTCACAAGGTCATTTGCATTTTGATATTCAATCGAAAATAGATGTAAATGTCTATGGAACGTAGCATCAACTTGCTATCAGATGGGCTCTGTGTGTGCTTTTGTCACCCTTAAGGCTGGGTGTTCCAGGCGCATTACGTATTTACAGGCGGTCGTCGCAAAAATCGAGTCGGTGATTTACACAAAATAATCACAAAAATATTGTTTTAAAGTTATAAACAAATTATTTACACAATGAGAATTAAACACAAACAAAAACTTAACTATAGTCTATATAAGTTCCATAAAACTAGTTATTACTACTACTATTACAATTTATTTTATTTCCTAAATACTATTTACTTGTGTATTAAATCACTTGAATAATCGATAGTTTTTTTAATAAATGTAATGAAAAAAAAAACAATCGGGTAGAATCGATTCCAAAACCTAAAATTTAATATTTTTTATGGAAAAAAGGGGTATTAGTGCTTGTTGCTGGCTTTTAAAAAAACTGCAAATCGAACGTGTTCAGTAATTTTTTCTATCGAGAAAATTGTATTGTATCGTGTATTGATCGGGTACATCGTAAGGAAAAAGAATGTATCTAATTTTTTTTTCAGATTCTCAATGTAATAAATTACCTATCAAAATCACAAACAAAAACAGAAACACCCCCAGCTTTAATTATTTTAAAATATATTTATTTCAAAATATAATCTTAAATGGGGAGGAGTTGAGTCTTGTGGATACCACTGTTTTTCTCGGTATTACTATTGACGCGAAACTTCAATGGGGCTCCATATATCTAAATTAGCAAGCAGACTTAGTTCTGCAGCATATGCTGTAAGAAAGATTAGAAGTCTCACAGATGTTGAGACAGCTAGGTTAGTGTATTTTAATTACTTTCATAGCGTAATGTCTTATGGAATTTTGCTATGGGGTAATGCGACTGATATTGAAGCTATATTTGTTTTGCAAAAGAGAGCCGTACGGGCGATTTATAATCTAAATTGTAAAGAGTTCCTCAGAGAAAAATTTAAAGAAATAAACATATTAACTTTGGCATCGCAATATATTTATATATATTATATTTATATAAGTATGTACATAAAAACATAAATAGCTTTAATAAGAATAAGGATGTTCATACCTTAAACACTAGGAACAAACATAAGCTTGTAATGCCACTTACTAGACTCCACAGAATTAGTAATTCATTTATGGGGCAATGTATACGCTTTTACAACAAAATCCCAGAACATGTTCAAAGTTTGTCAATAAACAAGTTTAAAAGTTTTATTAAATAAAAACTGTACAAAAAGGGTTATTATAATATCAAGGAATACATGAATGAAAATAACCCCTGGGAATAAGGTGATCGCCACCATGCTGGTTCTATGAAAATTCATTTAAAATTGTATAAACAACATTAACAAACCACAATTAAATAAACAACATTATTGTTAAGTGAAATTATGTTTAAAAAAAATTAGTATTTTCCGAACCAGTGTTAAATAAAATAATGACTTTCAATAAGTATTATGTAATAATCCATATTGAATAAAAAATCATTCTATTCCATGTTATAGTAGTACTGGAAAGTAATTGCTTTTATAAGTTTTTTTTTTATAGGATAGAGTGACAAACGAGCACAGTCCACCTGTTGGTAAGTGGTTGCTGTGACCCATAGACCTCTACATCTATCCTCAATAAAGAACCAAAATGCAGATGCGTTGTCACCCGTTAGGAATTGATGAAATGCCTCGTTTCCAGTAAAAAAGATTTCCGGTTCTCTGCACTCACCATACGAAACACAGCAGTGTTAAGCTGCTATTTTACGCTGGTATTCTGTTAGAGCGTGGTCTTTCCCCGGTCGAGCCGACCCACTCGTGCTACAACTATAATACTAATATAACTGCAGCATAGCTTTACCACGTATAAACACCCCAATGCAAAATTCTTTGGTAGAATAGTCTCCTGTCATTATGAGCGGCTTATGAACTTATGGAGGAGTCCTTGCGTGTCTAGTGTAAATTAATGCTCCTGTTTTTCTATAGAAATAGACAAAACTATCAGTGTATAATCGTCCTCCTAAGAAACCGTCCTACTTAAGTTCATTAAACCATTCTAATTTTAATTCGTCAGCTATTTGTCCCGCACACGCGTTAAGACCTTTAGATTTAAAAATAGTTTCGCCACCTGGACTGATACTGATGGAATTTTCTTAGTAAGTAATATATCACGAACTGTTGGAGAGATAGAAAGGTTCTAAGTCTATTTGGAATAAAGAATCAACTTACACTACATCAGTTAGTATAACGTTACCACTTTTTTCGGTTCTGCAAATTATGCATCACAAGCTATGCATTATTTGGCTAAAGACAGATATTTTGCATTGTACGAGTATTAAGCACAGAAAATGGTATTGTATATATGATTCCTTCGTCTGAATTATGCTTGTCTTATGCAATATTGCTCGTATCATCCCAAAATTGAAAGTCCTTATATAGTTACTTTCCACAACAAAAAGTATAGAACAAGCAAAATAGTATTTAAAAAAAAGGCATTTTTAAAGGCATGTTACATAATAAAAGGGAGAGAGATGTATTCGGAACTACTGTCGAATCACGCACAAGGTTTGTAATTTGTGCGTGATGATGTCCTCATGATCAAGGCTTGGCCCCTGACGAAGTGTAGATGACTATTGCACTCTTTGAAGTACCTTTCATACTTCAAAGATCGCAACAGTCATCAACGTGATGAACAAATATTGGTTCATTGTCGTGGGTACTCACTAAAGGCCAATTCCCCTTATTTCTATGTTTCCATTTTTTTCGGAATTATAACAAATTTTGCAGAGGGAAACAATCCCTAATATATATATATATATATATATATATATATATATATATATATATTATATATATATATATATATATATATATATATATATATATAAATGTATATAAATGTATATATATGTATATATATATAAATATAAATAAAACTGTATTGTCTGTTAGTAATATTAAAATATAAATTCTCAGGTTTAAATTCTTAGGTTTCTGTTATGCTCGTGGGGTACTTGTATACTATGTATTAAGACAAAAATAACCATTAAATTTAAAATTTTTGTCTGTCTGTCCAGACTAATCTTTGGAATCGCTGATCCGATTGTAATGAAACTTTAAGAACAGATAGAGAGCAATGCGAGAAGGGATCAAGGCTAATTTTATATCTGACAAACTAATTTTTTTTTTTTGAAAGAGCAAAAACCTGATAGAATAAATGGTATTTCTAAATAACGCCACATTTATAAATCCCATCTAGACGAAGCCGGGGTGGTCCCTAGTAATTAGTAAAACTGAATCTAAGCCTGAATATAGCAATTATTGTTTAGTTTTAGTTATTTAGTTACATTTTTGATAACACATTTCATTTGTAACTCGCTTTTACCCGCGACTTCGTTCGCATAGAATTTAAACAAAAACGCCTGCAGATCTTTAATAGTAGTTTTTGGGCAAATAGTTCAATTATCGATACCTTGTGCGATATAGGAAAATGGATGAAATTTATTAATTTCATGTTGTTTGTTGTAAAATGGTGTTGATATATAAGAAATAAGCCGTTAACTGTGTTGTGGCGGTTTAAGAATATCCTAGTGGATCTCGTGGATAACGTAAGAGGCGACAGAGGGAAGCTACTAGGAGATGAGCAGCATCTTCCTGATAACAACTCAAAATTATAAAACGTGTGGCAAATATAGCAAAATCCAGGGCAAAGGGCAAATATAGCCAAGTATTTGGGGTAGTGGATATACTAATTTCTAATACCGCCACAAAACAGGTAAAAATGGTTATTATTTATTTATTTTGAAAAAAACGTTAAAATTAATATTTTCCTGTATCGTGGAAGCACTTTACAAACATAAATTGTACAAGGACAAACATCCAGACCCGGAACAATTATTTTTGGGCCATACAAACACTTGTTCCGTGCGGGATTCGAACGCGCGGCCCCCAGCGCTGCAACTCATTGCTAAGCCACTGCGCCACGGAGCTGTCAACGTACTGTAACATAATGTCTTAATAGCATGCAAATAACCCCTTGAGCTTAATATAAGCCAGTTATTTCAATATTAAAGACAGATTCTACAATTTTATATATACATATATATGTAGTATAGCATGTATGTATGGAGTATATTGAGTAGTATAGATTAGATATTGAAATAAAAAGTCTAATAAAAACACAACCTTTTCCCGACTTTTCAGTCTGCCATGAATCAATGCCAATGTACTCGTAGGTGGAAATTAGTGTTTTGGCAGTGTGAGTAATATAATATATAACTATATAATATAAAAGAATTTGTCACTCCCATTGCATCCGATGGGTGTCATAAAAATGAAACTATGATAATTGTCAGGAAAATCAATAAAAAGTACCAAAAATAAAGGCTCAGGCCTAAATAAAATGTCACTTTGAAACAAAATGTATGTACATATTATTTTATTTTCATCATCTACTAATCTTTATTTGTTAAAAAAAACGTTGGCAACCATAGTCCAAACTTACATAATTTCATTTTCATTCAAAATTTCTTAAAATCAAAACAGGGCAATATGATAATGTGTGATCACTCACATATGCAGTCAAATCCTTGAAATCTTATAGTCAACTAGTCAGAACTTGAGCCTGCATCAAATACCAGGTATGTTTAATATTATCTTATTATAACTTAACAATAAAGTATTTTTCAAACGTTACGTAAGTGCTAAGATGAGAGAACCGAGTGGCGTGCAGTATAATAGAGTTCAGCATATATTTTGAGCAGTGTTCACATAGAAAGCCGGCTGATAAACTTTAGATGTAGTAAGGCCGCAGTTCATTGCTTTACCGTTTTTTATGATAATATTAAATAAATAAAAATAGTTCACTAAGTACTGAAATGATGCCTATTAAACCATTAATCAAAGCACTATGTTTGGACTCACCCCTTTTCCCTAATGGCGTGAAGTTGCTTTGGAGAGAGTGGATGTGGTTCCACACCAGCGTCTAACGCAGCTGCATCAAGCTCATCACAGGGTGGTGCAATAATTATATCTGAAGGTTTGTTACCGGTGCCCGTAAACTGGGATTGAGGGAGAACTGTGAAAATAGTTCTATGTAAGTACAATACAATACAATACTCTTTATTATACACCAAGAAAATATAAAAATATCAAAAAGAAAAAACAAACAACTATTGAGAGAAATTCAAAGGCCGGTCTTATTGCTACATAGCAATCTCTGCCAGACAACCCAGAAGAAGAAATAAATAAAGATAAGAAAAAGAACAATGGGTAGGGTGCACTAAATTAAAAAATAACAAATAAAAAATAAAGATACAAACTTATGCATTAAGAAGACAACAGTCTTCAGGTAGATCAATGACCATAATTAAGCAGAGGAAGCGAGAGAGACAAATAGTATTCCTTAACCTGTTTCTGGAACACATTTAAGGATCGAGTACTTATAATTGACTGGGGTAAGGAGTTCCAAAGTCTTACTCCAAGAACAGAAAAAGATTTATCATAATAAGTCGAGGAGTGCACAGGACATTGGAAGGACAGATTTTCTTTGGATCGTAAGGAAAAATTATGACAGGAGTTGATAAGTTTAATGTTCCGTTCTTTTAGATAGGAAGGACTTCATATATTAAATAAGACGCAGTAGAGAGCAGATAGTATATGAGTATTCCGACGAAGATGGATTGAGAGCCACTTGAGCTTTGTGCGGTATTCTGAGACATGGTCATATTTGCGAAGCCCAAATATGAACTGTATACAGAGATTTTGAAGTCGCTGAAGTTTGTTAAGTTGTTCGGTGATATCAAGGTAACAAATGTTAGCATAGTCGAGGATAGAGAGTAGTAAATATTTTGCAACCGTAATTTTGGCGGCAATAGCTAAAAAGTAATTAAGCCTCCGGAATGAAGCATATGCTGCAAACATTTTACGGCTCACTGCATTAATTTGTAAGTAAGTTCATTAAATACTGCTTTAAGTAAAAAGTTTAGTGGTTGATTCATGTAACATTTCTCAAGCATTGACAACTTCTTCTTACGTCAATCATTTAAATGTGACGAAGTGAATAATGCTATATCAAAATTAGTGCATTGGTTTAAAGTTAATAATCTGCATTTGAACGGAAATAAAACTAATTGTGTTAAATTTACAACAACGAATGTTAAAAATCTGAATACCAATGTGTTTTTAAATGGGGAGGAATTGAGCCCTGTTGTATCCACTGTTTTTCTTGGCATCACTCTTGATGCAAAGCTTGGGGGGTAAGCTATGGGGGTTGGTGGGGCCCCCATATATCCAAATTAGCAAGCAGACTAAGTTCTGCAGCCTATGCTGTAAAAAAGATTAGAGGCCTCACTAGTGTCTAGACAGCTAGATTAGTTTATTTCAGTTATTTCCATAGCATAATGTCTGATGGGATTTTGCTATGGGGAAATGCGGCTGATTCAGAAACTATTTTTGTTTTACAGAAGAGGGCCATTAGAGCTATTTACAATCTAAAACTGAGAAAGTCTCTTAGAGATAAATTTAAAGAAATAAATATATTAACTTTGGCCTCTCAGTATATTTACGAAAATTTAATGTATGTTCACAAAAACAAAGATAGTTTTAGTAAAAAACGTGATATACATTCTGTAAATTATTTGTGATTTTAATAGCTATAGCTATTAAAATCACAGATATATGTGTTAATACAGATATGTGCTAACACAGAGGTGCACTTATTTGTCCTTAACTAACCATAACCAATATAATACCTACGCTATTATTAACTGCTACCGCGATACAGGAGAAAATCCTAGTGTGGAGGTAACTTTTTGGAACGAAGTTCTTTATCGGACGGCATGGATTTGGTGGATGGGGACCAGGCAACAAAATGTGTAAGATTTTTTCCATCACGGCCCCTACTAGTGTAGTGTAAATGGCCTTGGCAGCTATAAGGAAGCAAGATGGGATAATATCCAACTCTCACACTTTTTCTTATCTTGCAATGAAAGAAATATTATTTTATTTTAAATGATGCTTCATTTTAATAGATGCTAGTAATTCATTTATTTGTATTTGTTAATCAATAATATAATATGTTTATCAATAATAATATACTAAGAAAGGAACTTCATTCCAACCTAGTGTTCCACAACACTCACTCATGTTTTTTTTAAAAAGAAAGAAAGAACAGTATAACTTAAATATTGCTTTGATTAAAGGAAAATTGTTTCATTTTGGAATAGATTTTTACTTGTAGTTTTTTCTAAATATCAAGTGTTTGATTTTGGTCCAGTATTTATTTCTACAAATTATTTATTTCTACAAATTAGCAAGTTGAGAACACAGGTTACTAACATAAAAGGTTACTAAGTAATAGTTAAAACAGTTTCATACTGGTAAGCAAAGTGTAGAGTAAAATAATTAAATAAACAAGCATACTTAACTTTGCAGAGTATAATTTAAAAAGGTAGATTAGTTTATTTTTGTTACATATTTCTTTCTACATGATAATGCTGTATTTACTTCTACATGGAGCAATATATTTCTATATGTAAGCCGTTATTTTTAAAAAAACGTCCCACTGGGTTTCTTGCTGGTTCTTTCCCTCAGGACAGAGATTTTCTTCGAACCAGTGGTAATTAAACAAAAGAGTAACTTTCAATAAGTATTATTTATTTATACTCTATATTGAATAAAGTTTCAGTTTCCGTATTTTGCCATGAGGAAATGCAACTGAGATAATATTTTCCAAATTCATTTTTTTTTTGTTTACTTCACAAGTGCATATATATGAACTATAGGCACTGCAAATATTTTTAATATTAAATATTGACCTTAAAAAATTGTGTTTATAATGAACAATACTTTAATACATTATAATATATACAAGTCTTTCATAACAAAACAAAATTAAACTTAACTTACCAATAGGGAAAGTTTTCCAATGATAGAGGAAATCTTCAGCAACTTGTTTTATATTATTGACTAGTTGTTCTACTTCCGGCGGAGCTCCAACCAGATGTACATCAAAACGCAGTGGCTCACGCTCTGGAGGAGGTACCTCTAGCAAAAGAGAATTAGGCCGGGACGCTCGCTCGCCTTCGCCTGACATAATTTCTCAAATACTCTGAAATTCTAGAGTATTCAAGTCTCATGCCGCGCTAACTATCTAATGATCTCAGGCGTTGCAGTAGGCGGAGAAATCACTTGACACTGACCACTTATTGTTTTATTATTTACATTCATTTGATCAATTTAGACCGACTGATCGGTGCAGCTTGTGTGATATTTCTTCTGTTAGTTCTCGTTAAATCAATTATTAAGGCATCGTTAATATAACACAATGTTAATACCTACAACAAAATCCATCAGTTGATAAAGAAAAGAAAATAACATTTTTTAGACTCCAATCCAAAATCAAAATGAATCATGCTATTGTATCTTCTAAGAAATTTCACTGATGGTTAAACTACCGCCATCTAGTCATTGATTTATGAAACACTTAATACTTTTTTATTTATAGCGGCTCCGTAATCTTGCATTTTTAGCTGCTTTACGTAAATCAATCAAGTTAGTGTGGCCGCCACAAAAAAATCAAGCATTATCAGTAATAATTCTAACGATAGGTGTAAAGGAAATTGTAAAAAGGAAATCATGTGTTATTAAGCAAATTATTGTTATATGTTATTGCATATATTAACTACATTTAAAAAAAATTGGTGTTACTAAACTTATTTATTTTTGACCATGAGGTTTATATTATACTCGTGACAATCTAAGAAGCCCGATTTGACAGCTATAAAAATACTTTGTGTATTGTTGGGAAAAAAATTGGTTGGTTTAAAAACCGATTCTCGAGATATATATATTATTTAAAGTTTCTAATGGACAATGTATGTACATAGTTTAAAATTGATTTTCAGGGCATATCATTTTAATACATGATCGAGTGTGTAATATTTAACAGTTATTACATAAATCCAAACTAAGTTTAAATTTGGGCTAGTTTCAAAGCCAAAACATAAACTAAAACCCGACATACTGATTTCTTCCGGAAGGTTTACGTATATCAGTGGCGTGCCTGCATAATATACATTGTATATTATGCAGACACGCCACTGATATGCACTCGCACGAAGCCGAGGCGGGTCGCTAGTCAAGAATAAAATAAACATTAAATAAGTGTGGTTGGGTCAGTTAAATAAATAAATTCACTGAATTCGTAACATTTTTATTCATTTTCGTCTCTGGAAGCTCCAGAAAAATTATCATCAGTTGAACTGTCTTCATCGATTAACCTTATAATAAATTCACTTTCAATCAAATTGTCAAAATGTACGTCTCTTCTAAAGTTTTCCGTTATAATTTTCTTTGTCTTTTCTACTAAATTGATCCAATCATCTTTTGTGATAGGTATGTGAACATGCTTCTTTAAGAAAACCAATTTTTTTTGTGGTGAATGAAGGTTTTGTATTTTGACGTGCACCATAGCCTGTAAAAGATTTAAAGTTATTATAACTACATTCTTTATTCTTTCGTGCAGTCAAACGGCTGGATAGGTTCTAATAAATATGCCATTCAATCAACTATAAAAATAGGACAGCAGTCAGCCGCTCTATTAGGCGAAATATATCTACTAATATTATAATGTCCCTGGATTATTTTTTTATAAACGTATATAAAACATATATTTATAAAACGTATGCAATCGTTCCTTTTAGATTAAAATATTTAAATACTAACCTTGAACTTGAGCCCAAATCATCTCTATAGCATTGTATTGACGATGGTATGGTGGGGTCCTTATAATTTTATGCCCATGTTCCTGTGCAAACTCATCGATGGCGTATTTTGGCCTCACAGGTTTCTTTTGTTTGACTAACAAACAAAATAAAACTGTGAGGCCAAAATAACTAATTTGAACAGTTCTGCTTTCAATAAATTCAAGTCAGCATCCACACCATGATTTTGTAGCCCTGTGTGTAGTGTGTGCAATTCATTATCTTCAGCCAGGGGGCCCGTACTTTTCCTTTGTAATATTTCGGATTGTTTTTATGCCAATTCCAAGCGCTTGTGCGACTCGTTCGTGTACTTGGGTAACTTCTAAAAGAGGCTCTCTATTTGCTGACTCGTTCAAAGTACTCGTGCAACTTCAAAACCAAGTCACGAGACTGGTTGTTAAGAGTACGTCCTCTTTTGTAGATGTTGTCTAGTTCACATGATAACACCAAAATCACGTAATGCGTAATCAAAGTCCTGAACTAGCAAGCCAAGGTCAACGAGTATAGCAGAAACAGTCCAAGAGTGATAGCTGAGTCAGAAAATATAATAATAACCAATAACACAAAAATTTCCAAGATAGCGAGAGACCGCGCAAAGCCTTGATGAATCAATGACTTAGAAAGAAAAAAATGGAGGTTAAAATTCATTTTTTCAATATCAAAGGATGAACTCAGGCTTTTTTAGCCAAACTGTTTCCAATATTAACATATTAAATATCAAAATAAAGCTAGAAATATATGGTCAGATTTGTGGTCAGATTTTGTTCTTATATATTTAAACATTAAATAATAAATTTCTTTCTTTTCTAAATGTAAAAGTATCGATTTTTCAGAACATCGATTTTATTCGGCCCAAAAACGGTTTATAACGGTCACAACACTACGGCAACGAATCCAAAAACATGTCATTGTAATAACGTTCTGTCGGAATATTAATCAACGATTAATTGGTGTTTTTGAGTGCATATTTCCAATATAAAGCGAAACTTGGTGCTTACGAATGATACTTATTGTTATACTATATGGATAACATAGTCCATTTAAGATTGTGAATTTGATTTTTCGACTTCCCACATAGACGTTCATACAAAGTTATCAGGACAAGTATAACGATAAACGTTTCTCGTTATTCGTACTTCTATATTCGTGACAATCTAAGAATAGATTGTCACGAATATAGAAGTAGTAATAGTAAGAAATAGAAGTTTTAACTTCGTTTCATTAGGCAACACTGAATGAAATAAAAAAAATTTATAAGACATATGTCCGTCGTCTTGTGCATGTGTTTATTTCTTGTGATTTAATATTTTTGAGTGTTTTATCGCTATTGTTTATGTATTTGCGTCGAGTTATGTATTTGCGTCAAGAATGTGCTTTAAGGTAGACTTTGTAATTGGTGCAGTGACATAAATATAAATAAAGAGTTATAAAATAATATGTTAATTTCAACTCTTTAATTTTTATGATGGTTTGTAGTTAGTTACTTTACATATGTGCAGACAACATGGAACTTTATAACATCTCACGTTTGTTAGAATTTTATTTTCAACATATCATTTAAAATTGTGAAATAAAAATAAAAATGTTAACAATACTAAAAATCTTTCTTTTTGTCCCGCATTTTATCGAGAGTATTTATGCAGATTTCTAAATAACAGTTTTTTTATTGATATTTAGAAATCGACAAAATACTTAATAAAAATAACAATATTATGGTAGTATGTATACAGAACAGGTATATATAATATCTATAGTTATGTATAGTTGCAATAGTAGTTAATAAACTAGCTTCCAGGCGGCGCTGTTATCGCAGCAATTTTTTACATTAGAGATTCTTATCTATTTCAGTATATACACTCTTATCTATGAAATGAATTGCTTTTGCTCGCTTTACTGACTGACACTTTTTTTTTTTTTGGAGTTTATGGCCTGGCATCTAGACCTTTAGGCCAAGTCTTGAGTATTTTTATTCGGTTTATTATAATTTCCCCACTGTATTTTTGATGAATTTATATAGAGGCACGTAATAGGATCTATTTTTTAACATATCACTCAGGCGGCGGGAGGGATCTTGCACTGTCACTTGATTTTGCACTATGTCACTAATTTCACTGACAAGAATCAATCTGTCAAATGAAAAGCACTCACATGTAAATATGAAATGTTCGATATCACCAACAGAATTATTGCAGAAGGTGCAGTAACTGCTCTCCACTATGCCCAATCGAGCCAGGTGGGCCGGGACGGTGGAGTGACCAAAGCGCAGTCTATTTATAGTGGTAACAAAGTCCCGACTGGCCATTTTCAGTTTGTTATACCATGGTGCTACAGGTAGTTTTTCTTGAACAGTTCCATACCATTTACCCTTCTGTTCTTGATCTTGTTTCCAAAATTCGACCCATAAGCTATTGACCTGGTTGTCAATAGATTGATAACAGTCGGTCAAAGGTACTTTTACTATGGAGCTAACATCCAACATGTTGGTTCCATCACGTGCAATTTTATCTACTATCTCATTTCCTGTTATGCCCCTATGTGATGGAATCCACATGAAAGAGACCTGTATACCCTTTTTTGCATAACTAAATAACAATTTTTTAATATTATACAAAATATAGTTTTTTTTAAAGTCAAATCTGAGATTAGTTAAACTTTGGACCATACTTAAACTGTCTGTTAAAATTAAAAAATTATTAAAACTATTTATATGTGCAATCCTCTTCAGGGCCTCGAGGGCCGCATATACCTCTGCAGTGAAAACACTGCATTTAGGGTCCAGAAGAAAACTTTGACCAAACTTGCATTGTGGATCATAAACGGCACTGCGCACAAAGAGCTCACTTTTGCTACCATCTGTATACAAAGTATAGTAGTTATTGTCGGAAATAAAACTTAATAATTCACAATTATTAAAAAAATTTTTGGTAACAATATTGGTCTCAAATATAATACAGGAATATGGGTATGTGTAGCATGTCCACTTTGATTGTTTAATTACATTTTTAAAATCTTCATTCATTTGCTGTACAATGAGAGGCAAAACTGGAAAATAACCTTGTAAAAGCTCACCTCCCGAAGTCTGCTGGACCGAGCATTGTAAAGGAAAAGGTACTATTTTTTTGAGAACATTATCATTACCAGATACCAGTTTTAGTAAATATCTCTCTATTAGCAGAAGTCTTCTAAGACACAGTGGCATTATTTTGGTTTCAACTTCCATAGCTCGTATGGGAGTTGAACACATAGCCCCAGAAATAATTCGCAGAGCTTTGTTTTGAATTATGTCTAGTTTTTTTACACAACTACTATTTGAGTAGGCTAAACAACTGTAGTCGAAATGGCTTCTGACTATAGATTTATATAGCATACTTAAAACTTTGGGGTCTGCACCCCAAGTCACACCAGTCTTATAATATTTAAGCCCTTAAGAGAGTTAGTTATAATGTGATTGATGTGTAAATTAAAACAAAGTTTGTTATCAATGACAACACCCAGGAATTTATGGTTAGATACAACTGAAATTGGATGATTATTGTAGAGTATGCCATTAGAGGGAAAATCTTTACTAAAAATCATGGCCTTGCTTTTGTTAGGGTTAATCTGTAGAGCCAACTTGTCATTATAATATATGTACAATTGCTCTAAAGCATTATTTATACTATTTACAGCTCTATCTACATTATGG